ATATTTAACTGTGACATTAACCTATTTTCACTAAAAATCAGTTCATAAAAATGGATCCATCACATCTAGAACAAAACTGAGAAATCTAGACCTCATCAACATGACAGTAAATCTCAGTCAGCCAATAATTACTAATATTAAGCTTTCATATGAAAAATGGAAACTTTTTTAGTTAAAAAAAAATAATTCTTTCAATAAAAAACTACATTATCTTAAGAATTTTATTTGTTATTTACAGTGTGCTAGGCACTAAAATTACAATAAGAACCAAAACACACAATTTATATGAAAGAAACAATTATAAAATAATCAAGTAAGGTATAAGAAATACTATAAATAAAATATATTACACAGTACTTTGAAAAACACATATTAGATGTCTTTATGTTGGAGGTTAGAGGTTATTCAGGGAAGATGCAGTACATGTAGTAAATTGCATTTACCTGGGAGCTGAAGGGAAAATAGGAGTTTATTAGGTGAAGAGAGAAGGGTGACAGTCTTCCCTATAAGATGACCTGGAGGTCTTATTACCCTGAAGCAGAAAAGAGTTTAATGACGAGTCAATGATCAGGGTGGCTGGAGCAGCCAGCATCAGGGCAGAGAGTGAGCAACAAGGCGGGAGAGGTGAGATGGAGACAGGGTGGCAAAATCCCGTGAAAGACTTTTGTTTTGTTTTTTTTTTAATCACACAAGTGACGTGAATTTACTGGTGTTTTAAAAAGCCCAATAGGACTTCACTGTGCAGACCAAATTAAAGGTGGGTTGGCCAGCGTTAGGCAAGAGAGAGAAATATGATGGTCAGTTTACTCTTTAGTTGTAGTATAACAGAAGACTTATAGATTAATACCAATAAAATAATTCCATCTTTGGAAGAAAACCAATAGAATTTTTATGTGTAACAGATTATAAAAAAAAAGTCAATGAGTAAAATCCAGCAACTATTAACTCTTGAGACAACAGAATTTTAAAACCTGGATTTAAAAAGTATAACACTATCCGTAATCAATACCTTTATGGAAAAAAACAAACTGCTTTGTCTTGTTTTAAATCAGATAAATAGCATTTTTAGGGTAATTCTGATATATAAGTACAGTTTAGTCCATACTCCATTTGAATTAAGAATATGAAAGCCCATGAAGGTCTGGTAAACTGCCCAGGACCGCAAAGACGTCTGTCTGAAGACAAAACTATTAGAATGTGAGTTAAATAGATGGAAAAAAAATAAATATTTATTTGAGCTCCTGAGATTCTCTCATTGCTTTTGGGTTTGACATTCTATGATATGTCTGGGCATGGGTATCTGTTCACTGAGTTTCTTTAGATGCGTAAATTAATGTTTTCCATCAAATTTGAGATGTTTTCAGTCATTATTTCTTCAAATTCTGCTTCTTCCTCCCTTTTCTCTTACTTGTATTCGTTTCATAAATATGTTGATGAGCATAATCATACCCTTAATTTTTCTGAGACTTTGTACATTTACCATCTTCCTTGTTCACTGATTCTTTTCTGATTTTCCAAATGTACTGCTAAACCTCCCTGGCAAATCTTTCATTTCAGTTATATTTTTCAATTCCAGATTTTCCATTTGGTACTCTTTTACATTTAAATTCTTTCTTTTTCAGCAGTACTGGGGATGGAAACCAGGAGCCCTCTACCTCTGAGAGACACCCCCAGGCCTTTTTATTTTTTTAATTTTGAAACAGGCTCTAAATTGCCACAGCTGGCCTCAAACTTATAACTCCCTGGCCTCAGCCTCCGAACTGCCTGGATTACAGGCATGCACCACTATGTTCATTTTACAATTTCTTTTTATTGCTTTTCTTGATTTGATGAGGCAATGCCATTGTAAATAGCTTTACCTATAGTAAAGATCCTGAAGGATGCTTTATTTAGGATGATTAGAACTTATAATTTTGGAGAGGTAGAATCTTGTAGGTTCAGAGCCAAAATTATCTTGGGCTACATATTGGGCCCATTAATGGCCATTTACCTTAACTTTTGTATCTGGCCTAACATTCTCATGATTATTATGTAAACTAGTTGGAATGTGTCACTCAACTTAGCATACCTCTAGCTTCCACCATCCTAAAGCTAAGAATACCATAAGACAACATCTAAATTCATGCAAGAGATACCCCCTCCCTTATTATAATCCACCTGCCTGATGCTCCCACCAGTGTAACTGGTATATATTTTCACCTACGACTTTCTTTTGTTCTGTGACTATAAGAGTTTATGTAACCTCTTTTGTGGTAATACATGTTATTCAAGGTAACTGAAGTCTATATTTCTGGGCCATGATCACTTATATTTGGCTCAGAATAAACTACTTTTAATTGTGTAGGGGGGGCAGGTACTGGGGATTTAACCCAGGGGTGTTATCCACCAGTTCTTTTTTATTTTTGAGACAAGGTCTCACTAAGTTGCCTAAGCTGGCCATGAACTTGCAATCTCCCTGCCTCAGCTTGCTCAGTCTCAGGGATCACAGGTGTGTGCCACCATGCCTGGTCAGAATAAACTATTTTATTTCCTTTAAAGTATGAACATTTTTTTATTTTGATACTATCACACTTTTTTTTACCTCTTTAATCATGGTTTCCTTTAGTATTTTTAGATATACTTACAATGGCTGCCTTAAAGTTTCTATTAATTCTAACATTGAAGCCCTTTTGTAGGCAGCCAGGGATTGTGGTTATTGTTATTTACTTGCTTCTTTAGTGACTTGGTTGGAATATGTTATTCAAGTCTAGTTCTCATACAGTATGAAGGCTCTGATGTACCTCAGAGGGTATAAATTTGGACATACCCACTCTTCAATGATACTGATTTTAGCAGGTATTTTTGACTATCTCTTCCTCTAATCTCAGTTAAGCATTATGTCTCTGTTGGTATCACAGATATCCTGTTTCACTAATCGCAAGCTGTTTATTTTACTGTTTGCAACCACGTCCTCAGGTAGAAACTGAGAAACCACAGTCTGATTCAATTAAGTTTGAACACCTTTGCACAAGTCATTTTTGAAATTTGTCTTTGAGGTTTGTTCCTATCCCACTGGGACTTGTTGTAACTGTCTCTCTAGTTCTCTTTGGTACACTAGCTACTTGTGGTTTAGTTGACACTCTCTTGGAGTTAAGAGCCTTCTATTAATTGCCTATCATTAAAATCTCTAGTATTTTAGACTCACTGGGTTGGAACTTTATCACACTCCGTATAAACTCATTTTCTTTGAGGAGAGTCTCAAAGATCCTGTTGTCAAGACTCCCTTTTCCCCTCCAAACAAAATCTCGGAGTCATTGCTTTGGAGCTGGGATGGGGACATTGACCAACTTCTCTTGGCATGACACTTCTACTTTCTGAGAACAGACACTGGCTAAGGAAACAACCTCTGGTCTTCTCTGCTCACCTTTCCCATAGAACCTCCACTCTACAGGCAAGCTGGGTGGGCATTCGAGCTCCTAGTAGTCTTGGCCTGCTAAGAGGAGGTAGAGCTCTTGAGGAGATCTCTGCCCTGTGGGAAGGGAGCCCCCAACTTCTAGGTAGCACTTCTTCTGGATTCAGCCATCTGTTAACACAGAACTGAGGGGGAAGAGTAGCTGTCTGCCACTCATATGGAGATACTGTAGCGCTTGACTAGGAACTAGAGGGAGTGGGAAGCCTGATCTTGTTGGCCATACTCAGAACTGAAGCTGTCATTTTGATCAGAGGGTGAGGGGAGGCCAAAAGTAGGTCTCATGTGCCACAAATGGTTTTCACTAGAATTTAGTAGCTTTTTATGAATAAACGCTTCTTACTGACTTGTTGTAGAATCTTGGGACAGTTTCCAGAGACTTTTATTTTTCTTATAAATAGTTTCCACTAGCTATGTTTTGTCTACTGGGGATAGTTCTGTGGATCTACTCATGCCACCATTACAGAACTGATAATTTCTTTTCAACATTTCCAAAGAACAGAGCTATCAATAAACTAGTAGTGTTATATAACTTTATATAACTTTAGACATTCAAAAGTTTACTGGGTACCAAGAACTAGACACAGTGCTACATATTAGCTACATAAGCAAGTAAACTTTCCAACTTTTATTTTTAGATTTCTCAACTCTTAATTAATATCCAATTTTATATTAAAGAATAGAATTTTAAATCTTTACTATTTTTTTACATTTGAAATTATAAAATCTCAAAATTGTTTCTATAGTTATTTCAAATTTTAATTTTAAAAAGTCTTATACTTAAGCTCTTAGAATGTGTGATTAATTAAGCCTGTTTGAGAGATTCTTATTTAACTTTATCTTTCCTTTAAAATATATATAAACCACCAACACCATTATCAAAGAAAACACTTGTTCATCCAAACAGCTGGGACTGATTTACGCTTAATCAATAAGAAATTATTATATGGAATCTATACATTTCCTTGATGACATTTATATTGTCATTCATTCAAAATCAATATGTATGTGTAATCTTTATCTAAAAAGTACATTATCTAGATAATTCTATGTGAATTACTTATTTTCTACTTATGATAAATTATTTTATCTTAGTAGATATGAAAAAGACCCAGGGAAGGATCCAAATCCACAGTATCACCATATGAAATTGCCAAGGAATAATCCTGACACTACACATTGATTTCAAAATATTTACTCAATATTTTTAATAAAAAGTATCATGTAAATACTCTCTCTAAAGTTATTTGGATGGATTAAATATGAATACAATTTAAAAATCTCTGTCAACAACAAAGATAGAAAACTTACCTCTGATTGTAGTATATGTGACTAAAAGGAACAGTCTAAAAATTCATTGAGGAACTTTTATTCTCCCACCCCATTACACTGTAAGGGCAAAAATTAACTTTATCTCAACTTTAGAACATGTAATATGATAAACATGATTTTGATTTTAGAAGGATTTAGTTAACAATAGAGATAACTCTTAAAGTATAATGATTCAGAAAACCTAAAACAAAAAATTACATATTTAAAATTTTAAACTTACCTGATATAAATAATCTTCAAATACAAAATAATAATCATCATTGCTTGCTGTCAACTTTACATCCTATGATAAAAAGTAAAGAATATGTTATTGTTTAGATATTAGACGGACCCCCAAAGTTCATGTATGAGACAATGTAAGAAGGTTTAGAGGTGACATGATTGACTTATGAGAGTCTTAACTCAATCAATGAATTAATCCCCTTCAGGTAACTGAAAGCAGGTGGGGTGTGACTAGAGGAGCAGGTCATTAGGGACTTGCCTTTCAAGTTTATATTTTGTTGTGGTGAGGAGAGCTCTCTCTCTGCTTCCTGATCATCATATTCTAAGCTACATTCCTCCCCCACACTTTTCTACCATGATGTTCTGCTTTACCTTGGGCCTCAAAGAATGGAGTCAGCCATGTATGGACTCAGACCTTCAAAACTATGAGCCCCAAATAAACTTTTCCTCCTCTAATTGTTCTTGTTAGGTCTTTTGGTCATAGCAGCAAAAAGGCTGACTAAAATAAAGACTGCTTTCTGAAAAGAACCCAGATGAATGTCTATAGTCCTAAAGCATAATTATTTAGAAATTATTTAGAAACAATGATGCAATGAATCTATTCCTTTATGTAAGATTATAAACTTCTCAATTAGATTTTATCACTGTTACATATTTACTTGACTAAGATATATGATACATTATTTGATCACTACTTCCTTACATTTTTTAAGGTTCAATTAGTAACTTTATTATTTATTTCAATTTTATATCCCTTTAATATTTAGGTGTCATAAAACTTGAAAACTAGATACAATCATAGCATCTAGAAGCAACCAAAATTAACTGGTCCCAAATTTCAGCTTTAATCTCATAATTCAAATATACATACTTGCCATTCCCTCAAAATACCAAATATTTTCTGGCCTTTGTGAATATTCATTTGCCAATCACCATTTGTTCCTAGGAACCTAATATTGACTTTTCATAAACTCATCTTCTAAGAGCTAGTCACTAACTTCTCCCGAGTCAAGTATTAGTTCCTTCCTTTAAATATAACTCTATTCTCACTTCCTGACCACTTTATAAGTTTCTGCTCTCCTTGATTTTTATATACTCAGCATCACCATAGTAACTTCCACATAGTAGCACCCAATACATGTTTGAAGAATAAAGGACAAATAAATAAAAATTAACAGAAATTACACGATGCAGCAGGTATCCTTCCCCAATAACAAATAAACAAAAGCCCAGAAAAGTAAACCAAAACATCTCCACTTTCCCCGAGATATCTCTGAACATTTTGCACAGTGAGTTGGAAGCTGCTGCTTTGTATAAGAACATGGATATTCTTTATATACAGAGATATGAAAAATTGTGCTCTATATGTATAATAAGGATTGTAATGCATTAAAAAAAACATGGATATTCCAACAGATCTGACAAAGATTTGAAATCCAGTTCAACTACTTCTAGCTGTAAGACTTTGATCAGGAACTCCAAGCCTAGGTCTTCATATCTGTTCATGGGACATCATTAGCTACTTCAGAAAGTATGGATAAATGCCCAGGACAATATGAGAAACAGAGCAGGCCACCAGAAATCTATTTTAAAAGTTAACTCAAATCCTCTATAATTATAGTAATTTTCATTTTTTCATCAGTACATATATTTAAATACAGATCCCGAACTTGTATCAAAAAACCCCAGATATAAAGCACACCATACTTTTGGACCTAAGTAATATATAATCAATTCAACAAGTATTGATTGATTGGTTGGGATGAACAAAAACATCAAAACACAAAGAAATAAGAAAGACAAATATTTAGTTCCTAATGTCTACATTCTTGCTGACAAGAAAATATACATAGCAAAAATATGGAAAGAAGTACAAAGAAATATTGCAGAAGTCCATTATAACATAGATGAAACTTTGCTGGTGAGCACATCAGCAATTGGTAAGAATGAAATGAGTCATGGGTGACTGTGGAGGTAGTAAATGTGTACCAAGTCTGGAAAAACTTAAAGCCAAAGAACAAAGGGAAAGAATGGGGTGGGTCTTCTATGTCGGAAGACAATATAGGCAATGGTAGAGACTGGACATCTGTACCACTGGTGATACTGCCTCTTACTGAGTTAACTGGTTCTTGAGGACCAAAAATCTTTGCATGTTTTAATGGTAATGTGATTCTCCCAAACTCATCCCTAGCCAACAAAATCTGACTCTCTAGTATTTAATTTTTCTTATTAGAGAGAAATAATTTTTTTCCCTCAGGGATATGATAATGAAGGAAAGTTAAGAAACCCTAGTACAAATTATCAAGTCATAGTAACTTTTAGAAAACTGTAGGTATGGACACAAGGCAACTTTGTGGGAAAACAGAAAGCAGTTAAGGCAGAACCATTTAATAACTTAGTGTAGTAGGGCTGGAGTTGTGGCTCAGCGGTAGAGTACTTTGCCTCATATGTGTGAGGCACTGGGTTCGATTCCTAGCACCATATATAAATAAGCAAATAAAATAAAGGTCCATCAACAATTAAAAAATATTTTTTTTAAAATAAAATAACTTAGTGTACTGAGAGACTGATGATATTTTGTATTTAGAATTGCCTTGTCCCATTCATCCCTTTCACCTCTTTATTTTCAGTTAAATTTAAAACTTTGTCTTTGTTATAGGGAGTGTAATAAAGCTTTAATAAGTTTTAAAAATGCAACTGCTACATGCATAGGCCATAGGCCTTCATAGCTTCTTTTTTAAAAATAAAATATACATTTGCACTGGGGGTCCCTCTTCAGAGCGGCACCTCCAGCCTGGTATATTTTTCAGTTGCTGAACTTCTCATAACCACTTTATCAGCAGCCCCAGTGACTTAGTGTACCACTTCCATTTGCATTATTTTATTATTTTTGGTTTATTTCTTTTAGCAGTTGTTTTATTATTATTTTGTGTTTTTAAATAGCTTTTGCCTAAGTGTGTGTTTTTATTAGTACTCTGATTACAAAGCTGCAAAAGTTTTGCATGGTGTACTCTATTTTCCCCTAAAACTCTGTGATTTTTAAGACATATTATTGCAGAATGGGAGTCCTCCTCACCTCCAAGGAAAACACTGACAGCTTAAATGCTGGTGCCTACTATTCTTATGGTAGTTGCCAGGATTAAATGATAGTCTAGGTAAAAGTTTGGTACACTATATGGCAAATAGTAAGCAGTCACACAATCACAGTTGTTATTATTGCCCTTGGCCATGTTCTACTCAGACACATTTCAAGGTCTTCAACATGTTATCTTTTCTTCCCCATTTATGAGAACTGCAGTAAGAATCTCCTTTACATTTTGAATTATGAATTTAAAATCCAAGTCTCTTAAATAGTAAAATTACTAATCCGGCAGTAGTCATATCCTATGTTATGTGTTAAGCATCTACAACTTGACTCAACAAGTTGATTAACAGATGCTTGAAGACAAACATTCAAAGTATTCCTACCCTGAAACTTGAAATATATATGGCCATATATTTAGAAACTAAAACAAATTTTAAGACTTCAGTTCAAAGAGACATACAAGTAGGCCCTAAAGAATCATGAGATAAAAATGATGAAATTATTATACTCTGTTTTTCTTTTCAGTTGCTTCTATATTTTGTTTGTGTAGAAAACTTAAATTTTTAAATCTGTTTTTCTTACTGAAAAAACAGGAGGTCCAGGAAAGAATCATGAGGATAGATTCATAGGGAAATGGAAACACTGAATTCAGACTATAAGTTTGAAGGCCAACCTTAATTTTATAGGTAGAATGATAACTTAAAATTATTATTCATCTATTTATTTGAGACAAGGTCTCACTAAATTGCCCAGGCTCACCTAGCACTTGCAATCCTCCTGCCTCAGCCTCCTGAGTAGCTGTGATTACAGGTTCCTGGCACTAAAAATTATTTTTCAAGTTTAACATATATCATTGCACCTAGTACCTGACCTTCATATGAAAAACTCTTAATTTTTAATGATAATGGAATGAAAAAAAAACTATACATATTTTTACTTACTTTATATATTAGACTGTCCACCAAAAGGTCATGTTGTATCACATTCATCTTAAGTTGCTCATAATACAAGATGTCCTAAATGTAAAACAGGTCAAAATATTAAAGGTCAGTCACATTTATAAAGCCAGTCTCTATAACTTTAATAAGTAACAATCTTAATAATATCATAAATACTAAGAAAATAGGAACTCTGTTCTATTCATTACTACATCCCCCAAGCCTGACCAATATAAGATGTTCAACAAATATGCCTGTTCCTTTACTCATGATAACATCTGGCACTTTGTGGGTATTCACTCATTATTTGCTAAATTGATTTTCATTTAACTTTAATAGCAAATATAGTAATTTATTAAGTAGTTTCTAAATACAAGGCACCATTTAACAATTAAACATGAATTAACTCATCTAATCCCAATAAAATGGGATTGAATTTTATTTAATTTCAATAAAATGAAATAGATCAATGATTACTATTCCCACTAACATTTCAGAACTAAGGCCACAAAACTATGAGATTTGATTAATCCATACTGCCTAATATGCAAATTATTACAAAATAGTAAGTTCAAACATAATAAGTCACTACTAGTAGTAAAAACAATCATATGGAATAAAAATAAATCAGATTTTATATTAGAATATGGTCTCATAATACTTTAAAATTTGACTCTGTATCATGATGAGATAGGCTATGTTTATTTAATAGAGAATAAGAAATAGAAGGAAGAAGAGGAAAATTAAAAGGAAAGGACTAAGAAAGAAAGGAAAGGGAATGAGGGAGAAAGGTAAAGCGGGAGAAGGGCTTGAAACTGTAATAAAGTTAAGCATTAGATTAATACTTGATCAGAAAAAAAAAGTTGATCAGAATATTAAGGACAAAGGTCAGGATCAAATGGGTAGTAGCTGTCTTAAAGGGAGGTGGCAATATTGTCTCACTGCTTTAGCAGATCCCTACATTCTTCTGAATGCCACCATTCATCTCACAGACCTGGTCTCCACCCATGCCCACTGCTTGGCTTTATCATATACACTGTGTGATTCTTTCCAGAGACATTTTCCTAAACAAGTAAGAGTTGTGGGAAAGGATCACCTGGGACAAGGAGGAATATTTATTGCAGGATGATATCTTACTCTAAGTTTCTGGAAATACTGATTTCTGTATATTTTTCATACATCCATTTGTCTTACCAAAATGTCTTGTTTACATGTTTTTATTAGTATACTATCAGTAAAGGTAATATTGGTGTTCATTCTGACATAATTATACATGCATGAAATAGAACTTGCTCCATTTTAGCTTCCAGTACTTCCCTGTTCCCCTTTCTCTATGCCATTGGCATTCTTTCTATTTATTTATAGTTAGTTAGTTGATGCTATATAGAGATGTGAAGGTAAAATTCACTATTATATATATGTATGTATGTATATATATATACATACATACATATACATATATCATAAGCTCTTACTTATCACAGTCATTTTTTGATCTCTTGGATTTTCTAGGTAGACAATTAGTCATCTGCAAAGAAGATAACTATGTTTCTTTTTGTCCCCAAACATAAACCAATTCATTTCCATATTTTATAGCTAGGACCTCAAAAAACTATGATGAATAATAATAATGATAGTATTACTACTTTTTTCCTAATTCTAATGAAAAGAACTTTGGCATTTCTGTTTATTTTGTACTTATTGTGTTTTGAGAACTAGTCTTAACTATGTTTCAATAATTCCATTTACTTTAAAGATTTGATTAGAAATGGCTGTTGAATTTAATCAAGGCCGTATGATACCTACTGACATTTTTTCCCCTTTAATACATGGATGTCTGAGAGGTAAAGGCCTACAGGCTGTGACACCCATCATTCAACACTCTCAGTGTTGATTCAGTTGATCCAAACTGGCCAGTCCAGTCTCCCTTTTTTCTCAGTGGTTCTCTAAGCTGCATGGTTGGTCAAACAAATGACCTTTGTGTTGAAGCAGATTACCCTTGAGAATTCTTATTAACATTTTTATTAAATGATTTTGCATTTTATTCAAGGACCTTTGTATCTCCCACATAAAGCACTGAGAATTAATAGGTCTTACAGACATTTGAAAAAACACTGCTTTAGAACAATTTTGGTAATAATTTATTTTAACTTGAAATTTGCTTTAACATTTTTACTGACATAAACAAAGAATATTGATTTAAGGAAATATTTCTTTAGGTAATATATATGGAACATGTATTCATATCTGCATTATAACCCATGAATTATAAGTACTCAGAGAACTTAATTTTAGTTGCTAAATTTATTTGAAATTGCATTTGTAATACTTTTTATTATAAATAAATAGTATTCCCTTTGTAATCAATGCTAGAGAACTACTAAATATTTTTAAAAGTAATCACTAAAATATTAATTTTAGTATCACATGCTTCCACAAAATACATCTTCAAAATGCTGTGAATGAAATGTTTTTAACTCTGAAGAAAATTTTTACTGATTCTTGTTTTTTTAAAAATATTTTTATAGTTGTAGATGGACACAATAATTTTATTTTATTTGTTTATTTTATGTGGTACCAGGGATTGAGCCCAGAGCCTCATGCATACTAGGTAAGCACTCTACCACTGAGCTACAGCCCCAGCCCAAAAATTTTTATTGGTTCTTATTGTTCCAAATGGCTAACTAGCCCATAAATATAATTCTACAGTATTCTAAAAAATTAATGTACAAATACTGATTCAGATGAATATTAAAATATTTTAATAGCAGAGCATTATATATGAAATACTGACTGACTGAATGAAAACTATACCATGTTGGTCAACAATTCTCATCTTTCAATAAAAATTTCAAATTTACAGATCATATGTGAAAAGTACTCCATTTCTGAAGTTTATAATTTCTATATATTGTTTCACACAATTTAACAATAACTTAGAATATATTGGCTTTTCCCAACATATCCCTTTACACTGACTTTATTACCTATTAAAATACAAAGTGAATTAAAAGAACCTATTGATAATTGACATTGCAACAAAGAAACTATAGACATAAGAATTACACAATTACATATAATCCTAAATTTACATATGTAAATTATATTGTCTAATTACGTACATATTTGACAAGTAAATATTTTATGTTTTGTTATTTTTTGTACATCACATCATATACCTAAGTAAAATGTAAAATTTTAGTATATTTCATTTAAAATTTATCAGATGTTTAATATTCCAGGTTAGAACATAGAGATATAATAGTAATTCAGAGATGAGTTTCCTGATCTCAGAGAAATTTAGGTTAAACTTAAACCTTGGTTATCAAGTGATTTAGACATAAGTTCAGATAGAGTTCACAGAATTTGAGTTATGCTACTGTTTACTAGAATCAACCATTGTCTAATATATTTTATCAATACATGGGCAGAATTGTATACCTTATAGTTTCAATGTTTATTCAAAATAAAATTATTATGTGGATTTAAAATTTTGAGTTTCCTAACAAATGGATATAAATAGTAAATTGAATTAAGGGAAAAATGTTTTTTCCACCCAATTATAATTTTTGAAGATCTAAAAATATCTGTTAAACCAGTTATAGGGCAATTTGCTGCCTCAGAGCAGCACGAAGATATCCAGTTATCATCTGTATTCCTACCAGGACCCCTACTCACCCATATGAATTAGGAAAGGTTTCCTGGAAGGCAAGGCACTATAAAATGCTGTGAATAAATTAAAGCCTGCAACTTGAGACATATAATAGTGATATTGACAAAATATATCTTCAATTCTAGAGGAAAAACTCAGGAGAATCTGAAACTAGAAAAGAGTTAGGAAATACAGATATCTAGTATGCTTCTCTTATTTTTACAGTTAAAAAAAATAAGATTTGGCCAAGCTAAATGTGTTACCTTGTGATTAAACTAATCCTCCTACTTCTCACTCTACATTACATTTTCCATTCAAAATATATAGTTTTCAAAGAAAATATATTTACTTAATAAATACTTGATGTTGGCGAGGATGTGGGGGAAAAGGTATACTCATACGCTGCTGGTGGGACTGCAAATTGGTGCAGCCAATGCAGAAAGCAGTATGGAGATTTTTTGAAAAATTGGGAATGGAACCACCATTTGACCCAGCTATCCCACTCCTTGGTTTATACCCAAAGGACTTAAAATCAGCATACTACAGTGACACAGCCACGTCAATGTTTATAGCAGTTCAATTCACAATAGCTAGACTCTGAAACCAACGTAGGTGTCCCTCAATAGATGAATGGATAAAGAAAATGTGGTATATATACTCAATGGAATATACTCAACTTTAAAGAAGAGTAAAATTATGGCATTTGCCAGTAAATGGTTGAAGCTAGAGCATATCATGCTAAATGAAATAAGCCAATCCCACAATACCAAAGGCCTGATGTTTTCTCGAATATGTGGATACTAGTTCACAATAAGGCAGGGGGCACCTGTAAAGAATAGTGTTACCTTAGGTTAGGTAGAGGGAAGTGATGGGAAAGAAAGGGAGTGGATTGAAGGTAGAAAAGATAGTATTACTATATGTATATATGTGACTACATGACCAATATGATTCTGCATATGTATACTCAGAAAAATGAGAAATTATATCACATCTATGTATGATACATCAAAATTCATAAATGCATTTTACTATCATGTATAACTAATTAAAACAAAAAAATTAAAAAAATAAATCACTAGTGTTATAATTTTAAAAAGGAAACATAATTTTTGACAGCATTGTTCATAAGAGATTTTAAAAATATACACATACATAAATAAATATACACATGAATTCAAAATTTGCAATGGCAAAAGTATATCTTTTATAATATATATTGTTTTATTTTCTTAAAGTCTGTATAATTACTAATTATAATTAATTTTAACATAATTAAATGTAATATGTAATTATTAATACCATTAGTGGTGACTATTTACATGCCAGGCATTGTGATAAAAGACTCACATACATTATTTTGTATACCTGACATGATTATTCTGTGATATACACGTAAGTATGGGTTAAGTGAGGCTTGAAGAAACTTAAGTAACTTCCTCAATGATATATATTTAGTAAGCTAGATAAACATGTTTAGTATAGCTAGCTAGACAGTTATAGATATATCTACTAGGAGTACTTCAGGAAGAATCAATGTCTTATAAAATTTTCCTTTATTAAATTGAATACCTGTCTATTGGTGAATTCCCTTCATATTCATCATACTTCATAAAATAAAATGTTCTTAGATTTGGAAAAATAATATGCCTATATAATCTGTCAAATTTTATAACCATGAGAATAGTACGTATTTAAAGGTAAATATAAGAACAAATCATTCATTTACTTTTAATACTGAGTTGCCCTTCTTTATTTCTTCGTATTCTAACATTTCCATTCTATCACACACCTTTATTTATCTAAATTATCAGATTCCACTTCTCAAAATGTTATTTATGGTTTTGTTGGAAATATATAGGATCACATAACAAAAACCTTCTATGTTAAGAACACTGATTAAGTTACATGTTAAGTTTTGTCTTAGAACCTAAAACTACAGTGATTTTGAAAATGGGGGGAGTAAATAACAGACTAAGAAACAAAAGTTTCCATTTTGAATTATTGATGTTTGAAAAATAAACATTAGTAGCTCAAATGTGACTCGTCATTTTTTCATCTTACCTCAGGTTGACTGGAAATATTCAAAATGAGGGCCCACAATTCAGCTCTTAGTGCTGTGGGACTGCCTTGTCTGATGTACTGTTGAGCAGCAGCACTATCTTGTTCTGTTAGAACTGTCAAAGGTACATTAGAATCTCATTAGAAAATTCATAATGTAAGAAGCATCACTAAATCTTTAATTATAAATCTTTTGGGAAGCTAACCATCTTTATATTTGAAAGATTATTAAAATATAAATAATTACACTTTTTCTTGTGGGAGGTCAACCTTACATATGACTGAGTTACACTCCCTGGCTAGGTGCTGAGGCGCTCAGTCGCAGAAATGTGGCACCCTTTTTGGGTGTGAGGGTCGGTGTCTCGTACATGGGTGTGTCTTGTCTTGCTACAGCCCCATGGGTGATGCTATGCTCACCTGTTCCTTCGTAATCTAACCCCTTGCCCTGTTAGGATAGAATCTTCCATGGAAGTGCCTTGTGTGTGTCCCCTTCTCTTACTGTGTCCTTGGGTGTGGCCTACCCAGGTATCAGTCAACCTGCTGACAGTGGACATCATGAAGATACTCAGCCCCCTGAAACCTGTCCCCTTGCCTCATTTGAATAGCTTCTCCTCAATAAAAGGGGTCAGCGCATGCTCTCTCTCTTTCTGCAGTCCCTTAAGGTCAGAGGAGCTGTCACAGCAATCCCAAAGAAAAAGGTATTTGTGTCTCTTGTGTGGTTATTTTGTGCAGCCCAGTTAGCCAGTTTGACTGGAGTGACTCCTGAGCATTTTAGTCGCGAGAACAGAAATCCATCATTCTCTTCCTTTGATCCCTAGATTTTTTATATTGTCCCATTTATAACCCTAAAAGTGTCAAGTCTTAAGATTTTCTAGCTTCTACCCAGCCTGACAAAAGCTTTTAAATGTAGGTACCTTGAGAATACATTGCTTTAACTATAGTTCCCTGGATCGAAAACTACTAATGGTGCGTGTATGGGTGTGTTAAATATTTAGTCTCTATGATCAAGAAAGTCATATCTATAAACCCTTAATTTTTTTTTACACATTCCAGTAAATCATGAAAGTTCTAATACCTGTAAATGGTACTGTACATGAAGTATCATTACTAAGGGCTATATAAGAATGTAAATTATCCATTCTATTGGATGACCTTTTAGCTAATCCAAAAATCAATATAAAGAGGGATTTTTAAAGGAGAAAAACAAAGAGCTGATGAAATCTTAAGACAGCCAAAATTATTCTTAAGCGGGCAAGTTTAGCAACTTGTCATAAACTTTCATGTTTATTTTCTTTAATGAAAATATGTGTTATTCACTAAGTAAATAAAGAACCAAAAAATAAAACAAACAAAAAATAAGACACACTAGACAATAGTTGATGTCTAACAGTACATTTTATTATATTTCTCTTCAAAGAGGAAAAAAATCTTTTACTAAACAAAAATAGCATGACTAGAATAAAGGGATCATATAAAATAAAGAGATGAAACATTCTTTAATTTTCAATTGTGTTTAATGAAAGTGTCAAATCACACAATGAAGTCATTTAAATATAATTTTGAAAAACTGAACTAAGGAATTTGGTAGATAACTGTCATAGAAGGTACACTTCAACACAAAGACGTATCTGTACTTCAGAGTTCAAAAACACAATGGGATTTATAAACACAAGGAAAAGAATCATCAAAAGAAAGGAGGAAATTATTCTCCAGGATACAAAATAGCTGCTTCAGTTATTAAGTCTTAACCATTGTGACAGCCAGCAGGAACATACAGGAGCACATTCTCAATTAATACTAATGAGAGGTGTGTGGGGGCATCAAAGAAAAAACCTGTCACTTTGATTATAAAATTAAATTCTACTGCTGCTAGTTTTAATGTACTGTCACTGAAGAACGTGTGTCTGTATGTCTTCAGGGAGCCAACTGTGCACATCTTTATCTGACATTTATTGATGAGACTAAAATGATGCATTTCCTTCAACATAAAGATACAAATAAAGATCACTATCAGATTATCTGCATTGTTTAATATTACTCCTACTTAGGTTTTAGCTTTTCAGAGATTAAATTTCAGTTGGAGGTATTTTATGGAGACATTTACTTAAACTGTCCCATTTTTCAGAAATTGTAATAACTTGCTAAAAGCTTACCTTTTTGCCCAATACGTACATGTTCATTTTCAAAAAGTTCTAATAATATTAAAAGAAAATAAAATTATTAGACACAAATGTGATAAACCACATTTAGAATAAGAGGTATATGTCTTCTGGTAGTTATATTTCAATTATTTTAAAATTGAATGGCTTCTTAGAAAATAACAATAATATTTATTCTAATCACAGAAAAAACTTTTTCTAAGTTGTTTAAAAGTAAGTTCATATATTTAATCAGAAGAAAAAGCAGTGAATTAATTTTCCCTTTGTTAAAACAGAGTATTATTATCATATCCATCCTTGATGTTTTTTTCCTAAAACAATCCCCAAACTAAAATTTGTTGATAACTTCCTTTATATAGTCATACTTCTTCTTAATCTACTGGTAAAGTATATATAACAATAGTATATCTTATACAGGTAAAATCTCACTATACAAAAGCCATTTAAAAAGATTTTACAGGAAAGACTATTTTTTTTAAGTATCAATCATATTGGAAAAAGACTCATAAACTAGACTATATTAAACTAAAACATCTTCTGTTCACCAAAAATCACCATTAAGAGAGTGAAAGATTAAGTCTCAAAGGAATAATATATTTAGAATATATATATCTAGCAAAAGACTAACATCCAGAATACATAAAGAACTTGTGATAGAAAATGACATGAGTCTAATAAATAACTTGAGTCTAATAAACATGTGAAAAACCTCTTGACCACATTAGTTACCAAAGAGATATAATTATAATTATTGTGAAACACACAATCACAAATGTAAATGACTGATAATTCTCAATGCAAAAGAAATATGGAGCAAATTGAACTTCTCATACAAAGCTGATGGGAGTAAAAATTGGTATAATCATTTTGGAAAACTGGCAGTATGTACTAATACAGAACTTACGTACATCATAAGATAATTACCAATTATCTCTCAGATATGTAAACAAAGAGACAGTACAAGAATATTCATAGTAACACTATTGATAAAAACTAAATAGTGGAAACAACTGAAATGATTATCAACAATAGACAAGATAAATAGTGATACACACACAGTGGATTACAATACAGGTATGAAAATGAGTGGTTTATCATCAATGTTTATAGCAGCACAATTCACAATAGCGAAACTGTGGAGCCAACCTAGATGCCCTTCAGTGAATGAATGGATAAAAACAATGTGGCATTTATACACAATGGAATTTTACTCAGAAATAAAAGAGAATAAAATCATGGCATTTGCAAGTAAATGGATGGCGCTGGAGAAGATAATGCTAAGTTAAGTTAGCTAATCCCAAAAAAACAAATGCTGAATGTTTTCTCTGAAATAAGGAGGCTGACTCATAGTGGGGGAGTGAGGGGGAGCATGGGAGGATTAGATGAATTATAGATAGGGAAGAGGGGAAGGAGGGAAAGGGAGAGGGTAGGGGATTAGCAAGGATGGTAGAATGTGATGAACATCATTATCCAAAGTACATGTATGAAGACAGGAATTGGTGTCAACATACTTTATATACAACCAGAGATATGAAAAGTTGTGCTGTATATGTGTAATAAGAATTGTAATGCATTTCACTGTCATTTATTTTTTTAAAAAATCAATAAAAAAGAAAATTAGTGGTTTATAAAATTCTACACAACATTATGAATCTTACAAACAACATTAAACAAAAAGACACAAAAAGTACATACTGTATGATTCCATTTTTATAAAGTACAAAACCAGACAAAACTAACCTATGATGCTAGAAGTCACAATAGCTGTTACCCTTAGGGGAGTAGAGTCCAGAAGTGTAGCTAAGGGGTTTTCTAGCATGCTGGTAACATTCTTTTCTTGATCAGGTTGGAAGTTACATAAATGTTTTCACTTTGTAAAAATTCACTGACATATTTAATGATCTGTGTACTTTAAAGCAAGTACATTATACATCTATAAAAGTTATTTTAAAATTATAGCAAAACAAAGAATAAGATTATGAAACTATGAGGGGAGAACTTTTTTTAAAATAATTTTTTTAGTTGTTGTGGGACCTTTATTTTATTTATTTATTTATATGTGGTGCTGAGAATTGAAGCCAGTGCCTCCCACATGCTAGTCAAATGCTCTACCACTGAGCCACAACCCCAGCCCCCTGAAGGTGAGAAAGTTTTTATCTTTCCCCACCCCAGAGAAAGATCAGTTGTTCAACTTCCTTTTCTCCTCCTTTCCCTACCTTCTGAGGAAGAAAGAGCTAATAACTGAATTTGAAAGATCCCAAGACAGTAAATAACCTTCCCAAATGATTAACTGTGTATGAAAGGTCATAACTTTGTATGACTTAGTAAGTAGAGCCTTGCTTCAACTGCCCCTTCTACATAACAACAGCAAATACCACAGTGATCTTCTAAGTCATTTATCACCTTATCTTCCCTAAGAGCAGAGATTGTCTCATATCTATCTACTCACCAGCTTCTGGCCCACAGCAAGGTCTCTATATGCATTTGTTGTATTACAAGTGAATCAAAGAAGCAAAATCTATTTTCTAAGTATTGTGTTACTATAACATTTAGAATAATTTTAAGTAATTCTTAAAGATTACTTCAAAAGTGAAAAACAAATATAATTTCAGGTCATGTTACTATTTTCTTTCCTTTTCTTATATCTGGCTATCATTGGCCATGGACAAAAGTATATTTTATTCTTATAAAATAAAAAAAAAAGGCTAGCAAAGGTGGCAGGAGGGAGGTAGCATAGTATACTACACTTTGGAGACAACCTGCTTAGTTTTGAATCCTGAATCCACAACTTACTAGTTTTATGACCTTGAGCAAGTTACTTAACATCTCTACTTCTTCAACTATCTCGCATCATACAAGAAATGAATACCACCATACACCACCAGAATGACTAGAACAAAGAAGATGGGATATACTAACGGGATACATTAGGAAGGATGTAGCAACTGTGACTCTTGCACTGTTGGTGGAAGTATAAACTAGTATCATCTTCTTTGAGAGCTCCCTAGCAGCTATCTACTAAAGCTAAACATATATAAACCTTAGGACACAAAAACTGCATTCCCAGGTACATGCTCAACTGAAGAGAATGGTATGTTCACCAAAAGATACATGCTAGAATATTTAGAGTAGCCTTATTTACAATTGCCTCAAACTTAAAACTTCCCAAATACTTATCAGCAATAGATGGGGAAAAAAAGTGATATAAAGATACAGTGAAATACTATAAAGCAGGAAAATGACCTACAAATACATACAAGAAATGAATACCAGTATGACTGAATCTCACAAATAAAACATTAAAAAAAGATACATCAAAGAAAAACACCATGTTCTTCATACATATAAAACCCAAGAATGGCAAAATTTAAGAATGTCTGCTAGAAATCAGAATAGTAGTTATTGAAATAAAAGATAAAGATTGACCTGGGTTTGATCCCCAGTAACACACACACACACAAAAGGTAAAGATTGAAACAGGTTGGGAGGGGAGCTTCTGTTTATTCTGATTAATTTGTACAAATTAATTGAACTGTCCCCTCTGATGACATATATGCTTCATTATCCATTACTGAAGTTTTAAAAAATGGTAACACATATCTTAAAAGTTGCTAGGTGGTTAAAATGAGATAATATACATCAAACAGGATGTGCTAAAATAGCCATTTATTATTATTAGATTACTATCATAATAGTAATAATCAATAGCCAACTTCTTTATTTAATAGGAGAAGAAACAAGCTAAAAGATACTAGCAACTTGTCTGAGGCATGTAGCTATCCACCAACGAAAGAAAGGACAGTAAGTCCCCTAACCCTGCCCTGTATTATTTCCACATCATGGGCCTCCATACTTTAAGTCAATTTTTACTTCAATCTTTTTCTAATATATATTCATTAGTTGCACATAATACCTTTATTTATTTATTTGTTTGTTTGTTGTTTTTTGTTTATTTATTTATTTTTATGTGGTGCTGAGGATCGAACCCAGGGCCTCGCACGTGCTAAGTGAGCACTCTACCGCTGAGCCACAATCCCAGCCCTACCTCAATCTTATTATTGCTAAATGCCACTCTATTTTTTTCATGAAATGTACTTGTATCCATGAATACAGAAATTATCTAGATGATTAAAGTTTAAAAGACATGATTTTGAAACCCTAAGTCTACTTGAGGAAGACGATAGTGTTCACTTAACTTGGTGATACGAAAACAAAAATAGATAATGATGGCCAGTGAGGGAAATTGAGTGCGGCTGAGGAAGATTTTGCCCATGTAGCTACTTACATGTCTAATAAATTTTCAGAATTATTTTAAAGACCTTCAAATAAAAAGACTAAATCTAGTTGAACTCTGATAATTATAAGATACAGGATCCTATTCAATAATTAACAATAACAAGGAGAGACAAAAGCATGCTTTGTTTTCAGATAGTTTATGACACACCTTTGAGAAAAACAAGATAAACTTTAAACTCTCATTTATCACGTATCATTAATTATATGTCATATGAGAAAAATACTAACCAGGAGGCACTTGTGTAGAATCATCTATACCCAGCTGTCCTGTATTTAAGCCAAGTTCTGCAAAGCATTCTTTCTGAAAAATAATACATTTAGAATTAACACACATCTCAGACTTTGCTACATACTGAAAGATCACCTAAACATCAGCTTAAATAAAAATCATGTGACAAGAATCTATGTTTCATTCAAATATCTAAAAAAGAAAAAGACATTATCAGAAACCTAGAGTAACAAAAAAGTCTACAATTGATGAGTGGGACAACCATAAATCATATATTACATATATTACTATATAACATTTAATATTTCTATGTGAAATAAACATGAAGAGTAAAAATATAAGCCTAAGGAAAATTAATATATTTAATTATAAAAGAATATTCTCTGAATGTGTATACTAATATATGTATAAAAGATATAATCTCTCTCCAAATGTAGAGCTTTTAGTAATATTTTTCTCTCCCCTAATTTTTCCTGGCTAAAAAACATTTTTACTTTGATGCCTTTGACCAATATAAGTGCTGCTCTTGTTTACAAAAACTTTTTCAAAACCTCCTCTTGATTTTGCTTTTTTAGGTTATAGACTTACCAGTAAAGTAAGAAATCCTTCTGAGTAAAGAACTATTACATTCAAAGCTTTCCTGAAACACATGCAATCACTGATAGCAGATGTAGCACTTACCAATTTTATATTCTAAAACCATTGTCTAAAATTACCAATACAAACTTGTATCTGGGCTTTCTGTAGTGTAGTACTTTATTCAGCTTTTAATCAACTAAATACCATAAATATTCAAAACAACTTATATTTGTTTTCAAGTAAATTTATAGTATCAAGTGCTCTGCTAAAATAAGGATAAACTAGATTTATTCTCCAAACTTCCTTTACTTGTTTAGTACTGTATAGGAGAGTAATTATGCTTGTCTGGCATTTGTTAAACATACAAAACCCCCATATTATTCACATTGGTATTATTTTCTAGGTAATTAAATATTTATATTAACATTTTCCTGTTTTATTGTTATTCTAATTGGTAAAACCATACTTCCTCCCCCTTTTAAAAAATGGAACTAGTTTAATTTTCACCTTTTTATCTGGTACTTATCTCCTTATTTATAAGAACAAGTGTATATTGTTATTTTTAATTCATTAGTTTCAGATATCTATTGATTTTATATGATAAATCAGGATTTTAGTGCATGTATATTATTTTTTTCTTCCTTACAATATCCCAATATAATTATATATCAATTTTTGGTAAAATACATAGTATAGATTTGCATTATTGTAATTAGGTAAATATTATTCACTCGTCAACCATGTTGTTTCCTTACATACCTTTCCTTACTGTTAATTTTTCCCCATACTGTTTTTATTTAAACTGCTTTTTCACTTTTACAATATTCTTTAATCATTTACCTCTTCCTATAGCCTTTACCTTCTCTGAAAAGACCCTTGTCAGTGTAATTTCACGTGTGGTTCAGTCTCTGGGATCATCTATTCTGCTGCGTTTCTCTTACAGGCATCCTTCCTGGGATCTTCGGCTTCCGGCTCTAGTCTGGGATCATTGTGCTCCAGATCTATTGTGGCCTTTATCCTGCAAATTCTCTTCACTGTCATTTCTGAAAATTCCCCTTCTCTTTGGTTGGAATCCTGTTGCTTGGTGCCATATTTTCAGTTTTGCTTATGACCTTATATGAAGCACTTCTAAGAGGTGCTGGCATGGAAGAAAATATTTTAAATCATATACATCTGAAAATGTCTACTCTACCTTCGCATTTGATTGACTGTGGTTACATATAGAATTTGAGAATTAAAGTCATTCAGATTTTTAAAGGCATTACTTCAAAATCTTCTGGCTTCCAGTTGTGCTGCTGAGAAGTCAGATGCCACTCTGAGTCCTGACACTTTGTATATATATTGCTATTCATCTACGAAAGGTTTCCAGTTTCTCTCTTTTAAGTGCTTTGATAGGGATTTTCTTTCATCCATGGCATTGAGTACTAGGTGTTTCATACTGGAGATCCCCATCTTTCAGTTCTTGGAAATCCTAATGATTATATTCCCTGTGTTATCCTTCTATAACTCTTACTGGTCAGATTTAGTCTTCCTGAATTGATCTTCTAATTAAAAAAAATTCCCTCCTATCTTCCATATCTTTTGCTTAATCTTATAATAGATTTCCTCAGCTTACTTTTCAACCCTTATGCCAATTTTTTATTGGTTCTTTTCAGTTATACATTAGAATTCATTCTGACAAAATTTTTAAAAGCATGGAATATAATTTGTTCTAATTCAGTCTCCAGTACTTCCCATTTCCCTCTTCTCCTCCCTTCACTGTTCCCATCACTGTACTCTACTGACCTTTCTGCTATTTACTTAGATTTTTTTTTTTTTTAGTGTCTCATGGATATACATGATGGTAAGAGTCATTGTAGTGTATTCATATAGACATAGGAAATTTAAGTCAGGCTCATTCCACTGTATTTCCTTATCTCATCTTCCTCCCTCCCCTTTAATCCCTTTCATATACTTCACTGATCTTTCTTCTATTTTGTTTACTGCCCTCTTTATTTTGGTTAAGCTTCCACATATCAGAGAAAACATTTGACCTTTGACTTTTGGGGACTAGCTTATTTCACTTAGCATGACAGTATCCAGTTCCATCCATTTACCAGAAAATGGCATAATATCATTTTTCTTTATGTATGAGTAATATTCTATGGTGGATATATACCAGATTTTCTTTATCCATTCATCTGTTGAAGGGCAGCTAGGTTGGTTCCATAGCTTGGCTATTGTGAATCATGCTACTATAAACATTAATGTGGCTGCATCATTGTAATACACTGATTTTAAATCTTTTGGATATATACTGAGGAGTGGGATAGCCAGGTCATAAAGTGTTTACATTCTTAGTTTTTTGAGGAATTTCGAGTGGTAGCACTAATTTGCAGTACTACCAACAATGTATTAGTACACATTCCCCCCACCCCATCCTCACTAACATTTGTTGCTATTTGTATTCTTCATAACTGCCATTCTGACAAGATTGAGATGAAATCTCAATGTAGTTTTAATTTTCATTCCCCTCATTGGGAGAGATGTTGAACATTTTTTCATGAATTTGCTGACCATTTGTATTTCTTCTTTTGAGAAATGTCTGCTTAGTTCTTTTGCCTATTCATTGACTGATTTTGCCTATTCATTCTTTGGTACTAAGTTTTTTGAGTTCTTTGTATATTCTGGATATACAAAGATATATTCTGTATATCTTGTTAATGCTCTGAGGAGCAGGTGATAGAGACCTACTTCCATTTTGTAGGCTCTCTCTTTCAATGCTCATACTTGTTTCCTCTGTTGTGCAGAAGCTTTTGATGTTATCTCACTGATTTTTTTATATCTTGTGCTTTAGGAGTCTTGTTAAGGAAGTCATTTCTTTTGCAAACATGTTGTGTATAAGGGGCGCACATTTTCTTCTAGCTGTTGAAGGTTTTTTCACCTAATTCCTAGGTCTTTGATCCAGTTTCAGTTGAGTTTTGCACAGGGTGAGATATAGGGGTTAAATTTCATTGTTCTACATATGGATTTTTCCAGCACCATTTATTTAAAAGTCTATCTTTTCTCTAACGTATATGTTTGGCATCTTTGTCAATTGTTCTCATATGGATTTGCCTGTGTCTTTTATTCTATTCCACTGGTTGTCATGACTGTTTTGGTGCTAGCACCATGCTGTTTTTGCTACTATAGCTCAGAAGTATAATTTGAGGTCAGGTATTATGGTGCCTCCTGCTTCACTTTTCTAGGAATTATTTTGGCTATTCTGAGTTTCTTACTTCTCCAAATGACTATTTTTTCTATTTTTGTGAAGAATGTCATTGGAATTTTGGTGGGAACTGCATTGAATCTGTATAGTGCTTTTGTTAGTATGGTCATTTTGACAATATTAATTCTGCTCATCCAAGAACACTCAAGGTCTGTTGCCTAAAGTCTGCTTCAATTTTTTCCTAGAGTGTTCTACAGTTTTCACAGTAGTGGTACTTCACATCTTTTGTTAGATTGATTCCCAAGTATTTTATTTTTGTGTTTTAAGTCAATTACGAATGAGACAGTTTCCCTAATTTCTTTTTCAGCAGGTTCATAATTGAAGTATACGAATGCAATTGATTTATGAGTGTTGATCTTGTATTCTGCTACTTTAATGAATTCATTTATGAGTTCTAGAAGTCTTCTGGTGAAGTATTTTGGGTCTTCTAAATATACGATCATGTTGTCAGCAAGCAGAGATAGTTTGAGGTCTTTTTTTACTATTCATATTCTTTCAATTTCCTTTTCCTGCCTGATTGCTCTAGCTTGAGTTTCAAGAACTGTGTTGAATAGGAGTGATGAAGCAAGCATCCTTGTCTTGCTCCTGTTTTTAAAGGAAATGCTTTCAGATTTTCTCCATTCTCCAATAATGGTAGCTTTGAGTTTGTCACATATAACCTTTACAACGTTGAGGTAAGTTCTTTGTATCCCTAGTTATTCTAGTGCTGTAGACATGAATGGGTGCTATTTTTTGTCAAATGCTTTTTCTACATCTATTGAAATAATTATATGATTCTTGACTTTGATGCTAATAATGTGATGGATGACATTTATTGATTTCCATATACTGAATCGACCTTTCATTCTTGGGATGAGACCCACTTGTGCTATCTTTTTTATGTGTCTTTGTATATGGCCTTCCAACATTTTATTAAGGAATTTACATCTATATTCATGAAGGATATTGGCCTAAGGTTTTCTTTCCTTGATTTTTTTGTCTGGTTTTAGTATCAGGATGATACTAGCTTTGTAGAATGAGTTTGGCAGTGTTCCCTTCTTGTCTATTTTATGGAAAAGATTTGAGGAGGCTTGGTATTAGTTCTTCTTTAAAGGTCTGGTAGAACTTTGCTGAGAATCTTTCAAGACCCAGACTTCTTTGTTGAAAATCTTTTGATAGCTGCTTCAATTTAATTACTTGATATTGATCTGTTTAAGTTTTCTATATTATCATGGTTCAATTTGGGCAGGTTATATGTCTCTAGGAA